CCGTGGAATCAGCAGCGGCGTGAACAAACAGACCACTCGGGGACCTATGGGTGGCAGAATGACGCTGAAACAAGCTTCTGAAATGCTTAAACAAACAAACAGTTAAAAGCCCTCGTTCCTCTGCTACTTCTAAGGTTTAACCAATGATGCAAGGCTTCAGGAAGGAAGGAAGGAAGGGATTTGAAAGTCTTTTGTTCCTATTTCCCCTCCTGTAACTGAATGCTTCTCAAACCTCCGCCAATTCCTGCAGAGACCACCGAAGGCCGGGTGGGGGGGGGGGGGCCCCTTACAGTATCAGCTCAGGGTGGGAATGAGAAGCAAAGCAGAGCAACGGACAGGATGCAAGCTCTGGACTCAAGAGGGACCTGAGCTTGAATCCCGGCTCCTACACTTATAACTGTGTGACCACAGCCAAATTAGCTGAGCTGGGCCTAAGATTCCTCCCCATCAGACCTAGAATGACAGATAATATTTCCTTCACAGGGTTGTGTCATGTAAAGAACCTATAGAACTTGGATCAAGAGAAACAATCAACAGAGTGGAAAAGACAACGTACGGAATGGAAGCAAGTATTTTCAAATCACATATCCAATAAGGAGGTAAAATCCAAATCTATACAGAACTCTCACAATTGACAACAACAAAAGCCAAATATTTGATGGGAAAAACAGGCAAGGGACTTGAATAGACCTTTCTCCAAAGGGGATCTCCAAATGGCCAACAAGCATATGAAAAGATGTTCAATATCACTAATCATTAGGGGAATGCAAACCAAAGTCACACTGAGCCTCATACCCACTGGGATGGTTACTATCAAAAGCCTAAAAATTAGTGTTGGCGACAACTCAGAAAACTGGAACCCTGGTGCACTGGTTGCTGGGAATGGAAATGTAGCCACTGAGGAAACCAGTAAGGTGATTCCTCAAAAAATTAAAAACAGGGGCACCTGGGTGGCTCACCTGGTTAAGCTTCTGGCTTCGGCTCAGGTCACCATCTCACGGTTCGTGAGTGTGAGCCCCACATCGGGCTCTGTGCTGGTGATACAGAGCCTACTTGGGATTCTCTCTCTCTCTCTCTCTCTCTCTCTCTCTCTGCCCGTCCCCACCTGTGCTCTCTCTCTCAAAATAAATAAATAAACTTGATCTCTGTACACCCACATTCCCAATGGCATTATTCACAAGAGCCTAAAGGTAGAAGCAATTCAGGGGTCCACAGACAGATGAATGGGTAAGCAAAACGCAGTATATACATGCAATGCATAGAACTCCGCTTAAAGAGGAAAGAAATTCTGACATCTGCCGCAACGTGAATGAACCTTGAAGACATTTTGCAGAGTGAAATGAGCCAGTCATAGAAAGACAAATACTATATAATTCCACACGTGTGATGTTCCTAGATTAGTCAGATTCATAGAAACAGAACGTAGAATGGTCGTTGCCAGAAGCTGGGGGAGAGGAAAGGGAAGCTGTTTAATGAGTACAGAGTTCTGCAAGATGAAAAACTTCCAGAGATGAGCTGCATGACAATGTGAATGTACTTAATGCCACTGATTTGTACACTTGAAAACGATTAGGAAGGTGCATTTTGTTATATGTGTTGTACAATTAAAAAGAAAAAACACACAGCATCCAAGACTGCGGTTTTGAAGTTTCCAGAAGCAGAAACACAACTCCACGTTTCTTACTAAACACACAGATCCTGGGGCCCTTTCCCCAGATATTCCGTTTGGAGGTCTGGGCATGAGGCCCTGGAATCTGCATTTTCATAAACATTTTCGGGTTACTTAGCACGCTAAGAATTCATTTACTCCGCTGTCGTTCTAAAGGATCAAGGAATATTTTTTTGAGTATTTTGCTTTTGCTGATATCTGTTTAAAAACAACAATTATGTCTGTGTGCATGTGTGTGTACAGAAAGATCCCCTGTATATGGAAGGATTATAACCACAGCGCAACAAGATGGTTCTCAGTCCTGGGGGAGACAGGCGCTACGAAGCTGGAGCACGTGACTCCGGGGCTCCAGGCCCAGGGCCTCTCACATTTCCACCAGCACAACTTCACATCTCACCAGAAAGATGTCAGGTAAACCAAACACATGCCCCCAGGATGTCCCCAACAAGGGAGGCAATGTCAAGTACACCCCGCAGCGGCTCTGCCTCCCAAGCAGCAGAGGAGAGGAGGTCTGACATAGGCAACCTCATTGCAAACAGCGCAGACGATGCAGGGAAACCACAATTCCCAAGGGCAGCCCAGCAAGAAGGCCAGAAGGCCAGCAAGAGCCAGTGGGGCCAGAAAATGTTGGCCAGGAAAACGCTGGCCAGGGAGGGCCTCCAAGAGCGCGAGAACAGCCTGGGAGAGGCAGTTCACTCAAGGACCGGAGGCCTCCCCTCCCACAACCCAACCCAACTAGCAAAGGAGATTCTGTTCATTCAACCGCAGCCAACTAAATACAGTGTTCTCGGCCCACCACATCCAGCCATGTAGTCATTTGTTATCTTCATCATCATAATAGCACCTTTGACATTGCCCATGCTTGGCTCCGACACTATCATTACTTTCCAGTGTGGCAAGGATGTCGCTCTTTGAGGGGGAAGCACAGAGCCCTTCCAACCTGCTAAGGCGGAGGGGCCCAGGGCTTCTAGATTCTGATGCCCCCAGAAGCCGATCTGCCATGAAACTGAGAGCAATGAACCTTCAGCCACCCCTACCCTTTACCCCTTCCAAGGCCCTGAGGAAGTACCCAGCAATGTGTTCACATGACTGTGTGGTTTTGTAAAATGTACAACAGCAAGATATTCTTGTGTTCTTTTTCTTATAACCCCTCCCGCCTCCAAATCGTCTAAGTGATGGACCCAGAAAACGAGGGTCTGCCTTTGGAGTCCACCTAAATTTAGTGAGGACTCCCGCAACCCTCTGGAGTGCCACATGCATCCACATACATTAACTCATTCAGCCTTATGGGGTAGGTTTTATTCCTAAGCCACTTTTACGTGTGAGGAAATTGGAACTCAGAAGGTTCTGTGAGGTTCCATGACCTGCCTAGGGTCACCGGGATTGCAGGAGGTAAACTGAGACTCAAATCCAAACCCCTAAATCCAAGCCCTGTGTTCTTCCTACTCTACCATCCCTTCCTGAGTGCCCTCAGGAGAGCTAAATAGTAACTACAAACAGAAAGGCACTCTAAAGAAGAAAACATGAAGCTCTTCTGATTCATAAGTCAATGAACACTTAATAATAACCAATAACTTTTACTGACCACTTGCCCCGTGGCAGGCACAGAACTCAATGCTTCTCTTGCAATATTTCATTCACCGCTCACCATAATCCCAGGAGATACCTATGATCATGAGCCTCACTCTACAGATGAGGAAACAGAGGCTCAGAAAAGTTCATTACTTTACCCAAGAACACACAGTAATTAGGAAAGCCAAGGATGAAGCTGACGTCTAATCCTAAAGCCCTTGCGTTTAGCCATGGTGCGCGGCTCCAGCTGGAAGAGGGGGGAGCCTGCCAGAGGGAGGAGGCAGGCAGGAAAAATGCCTGCAGCATAAATCAGGAGTGTGGCCTAAGTAAGAGCTGGAAGGAAGGGATGAAAGATGCTCATTAGAGAAGATGATTCTGGGCTCAAATGAACCGGTAATTGACATGTCAACCGCCTCACATGGGTTTTGGTGCCGAGGTCCCAGCAGAGGCCCCATCTCTCTGAGGCTCCATTTAAATATTCTCTACATGGCCCAATATCTCACAGCACCTCAACAATTTCCAGGGAGTCAGAAAGGTGTCACCTGTGTGCTGTAACTAACCTTCTGAGGACCCTGAGCTTTTTGGTTTGTCTAGGTTTCTGCAGAACTTATCCCCTAACTTTTTTCTAAGGCTTCTCTGGTGCAGCTGATAAGGCTTTTTTTTTTTTTTTTTTTTNTTTTTTTTTTTTTTTTTTTTTTGGCCTGGTTAAAACAAGATGAGATCCAGCCAGCTGTCGAGAAATGTACAATGAGATTATACTGAGAAGGAACCACCAGAGACAAAGGCCCCTAAAGAGTCGCTGGCCTGTTGCCTTTTGCGGCAGAAATCTGTTCTTGGGTGGGGGTGGGGAGCAGAGAAGGGGCAACAGACATTTATTTGCCTTTTGCCTCCTGGGGCCTTCCTCTGTGTCTCGCTGAAGAGACTGGGGAGAAGCAGGGGACCGAAGAGTCACATCTTTAGTGGTGAGAGAGGCTGATAACTTAGGAAGAGTTGCCTGTTGGGAACAAAGAGGACAAAGATGCTCATAGGTCTGCCCTCTTCACTTGGGCCTGTCGCCGGGGGTCTGATGTCCCCTGGTCCTAAGCCATAGCTCTTGTCCCAGCCCCTGTCTCACTTAGGCTGGGGTCCTTGTGGGGGTGCTCATCAACATAGCCAGCACACTTCCAGGATGGGTACTCTGGGTCTTGGGTGCCCGCTCCGGGCACCTCACCTTTAGACAGGTGCCCTGGCATTTGGGTGTCCTCTCTGCTGTGCCCAGGTCACAGATGAGGCCGCACCCCAAGTGATGCTCAAGGCTCAGGGGCAAGTTGGTCTGCACCCACGTGACCACAGAGAGCTGGACCCCAGGCCGGGCCAGTGAAACCAATGTCCGCAGTCCGTGCAGGTGGCCGCGGCGGCCTGGGCACAGGTGGGCCGCCTCACCTCTCACCTGGGCGGCTGTGGCTCTCGGAGACCCTCACCTGCCCGGCCCTGGGGGCGCTGCTGCCACTCGGGTCCCCGAGCTCCCTGCCGCCTGTCCGCTGCAAGGCCAAGCCGGGGCTCGGGAAGCCGCGGCGCGCGCGGGCCCGGGCAGAGGCCGCCGGGCCTGTCCCCGCGGCGGGCCGGGCACGGAGCCCGCAGGCCTCGGCGCGGCCCGGCTCCGCCCGTCCGCCCGCCCCTCGGCCCGGGGCCCGCGCCCGCCCGCCCGCCCGCCCGCCGGGGCAGCAGGGCCGGCTCGGCCGAGCCTCCGCGGCGCCCGGCCCACCCGGCCTCACTTAACTGTTCCCCGCTGGGGCGGCGGCGGCTGCGGCGGCGGCGGGTCCCGGCTCCGTCTCACGCAGAAGCAGCTTCTCATCGCCCGGGCGGCGCGGGAGGGGCCGGGCCCGGGGCCCAGGCGGCGGGGCCGGCGCCGCAGCTCGAGCGCGAGCCTCACCGGGGAGCGGCGGCGGCGGCGGCGGCGGCGGCAGGGGCGGGGCGCGGCCTGGCGACGGCGGCGGCGACAACGGCGGCGGCGGCTCCCTCGGCGGGTCGGGCTCCGGGCCTGCTGGCTCCGGGGGAGGCGCCGGGCGCCCGAGGCTGGCTCGGACGGGAGGAGGGAGCGGGAGCCCTCGCGTCCGAAGCCCGCGCCGCCGCCGCCGCCCCGGCCGGCACCCCGCCTCCCCCCGGCCTCCCCCACGGCCCAGCCCGCTAGCCCCCCGGCTCTGGCCTCCAGGAGCCGGCGGGTGGCCCCCCAGCCCGGCCTCACAGCCCCGGGAGCCCCAGGCCTCTAGGAGCCTGGGCACTAGTTACCCACTCCGCCAAGCTGTTCTCTTCTCTTCCAGGGCCCCTGCTGCCCACTCAGCTCTCCTAGGCCTCAATGTATCAGTCCTTCAGCACAGCCTTAGAACCCTGGACGCCCCCAGGCCTCTTGGCGCCTTAGATGAACACCACACACACACACACACACACACACACACACACACACACACACACACACGTTGTCCTCTAGTAGGGACACCCAGCCCTCCTAGGCTTTAGTGAACTCCAGGCCATTGCTTCAACTCAGCTCACTCCAGTTCAGGAGACCCCACTGTCCCCAAAGACCTAATCCAAGCTTAGGCCCCGGACTCCACTGAAAACAGGCCTCTCAAAATGATCCCAATCCCCCAGCAATTCTCTGCCTCCACTTTATGCTGGGCAAAAGATCTACCCACAGAGGCCCAGAACCAGGATCATGGGAAGTATCTAGAGGGAGAGGTTTACAGAAGCAATGCCCTACATGGGAAAAGGTAAAGGCCACAGGGTAAGACTGGATGAGGAGTGGGGTCCAGAGCTTAACTCTCAGCTAGAATGGCTGGTACCAAAGACAGCAGCAGACTCCAAACACATCCTTAACCAAAAATGTCCTACGCAGCCCCAGAGGCTGGTGTGCCGTTTGAAAGAATTGTGGTCAGAAGGCTGGAGCCTTTAGAGCTAAGGACCATGCAAAGAGTGACTGGCATCCATTTGCTAATACATCAAGTCTAATTTTCACACATTCTAGGCTTTTCTAAACAGAATTGGCTGCCGGGGAAAATGTCTTGTGGGCAAACCAGGCAAGTGTGTGCATTCCAAGCGTCTGTCTCAGAAATGCCACTGGTTCAGACGGTTTTACAGACAAGCTCTTTCAAACCATTAAGGATCAGACAATCCCTCCATTATTTAAACTTACACAGAGGGGCGCCTGGGTGGCTCAGTCGGTTAAGTGTCCGACTTTGGCTCAGGTCATGATCTCACGGTTCGTGAGTTTGAACCCTGTGTCGGACTCTGTGCTGACAGCATAGAACCTGCCTCAGATCCTCCATCCCCACCCTCTCCCTCCCTTGCTCGCTCTCTCATTTTTAAAAAAATACACATTAAAAATTTTTTAAATAAAAAAACTTACACAGAAAAAAAGCAAAAACATCCCATTTCACTTCCCAAATTTAGCCTAATTCTGATACCAAAATCTGACAGAGATTACACAAAAAAGGAGAACTGCAGATCAGTACAGAACACTGGTCTCCAGATCATTTAATATGAGTTGTTTGAAAAAGAGGCCCTGTAGTCAAATAACTTGAAAAAGAGCTGCACGCCATTTATAGTCTACCTTTTGGAGAACCCACGTAAGTATTAGTAAAGTCCCCGTGAAGTCCAGGGATACAGGTGTCCTGTTTCGAAGGGGCACATGCACCCCAATGTTTATAGCAGCACTATCAACAATAGCCAAAGTATGGAAAGAGTCCAAATGTCCCATCGATGGATGAATGGATAAAGAGGATATGGTATGTATATACAATGGAGTATAACTCGGCAATCAAAAAGAATGAAATCCTGCCATTTGCAACCACATGGATGGAACTAGAGAGTATTATGCTAAGTGAAATTACTCAGAGAAAGACGAATATTATATGACTTCACCCATATGAGGCTTTTAAGACACAGAACAGAGGAACATAAGGGAAGGGAAGCAAAAATAATATAAAAACCAGGTGGAGGACAGAACTTAAGAGACTCTTGAATATGGAAAACAGAGGGTTACTGGAGGGATTGTGGAAGGGGGAGGGGCTAAATGGGCAAGAAGCATTAAGGAATCTACTCCTGAAATCATTGTTGCACTATATGCTAACTGACTTGGATATAAATTTTAAAAATAAATTAAAAAAAAAAGTCCCTGTGAAGTAAAGAAAGTGAGCATTTCTCAAACTAATCTGAGCCAGAACCACCTTTTCAAAGTTCATTCTAATATGTGAATCACTACTATAAATCAACCTACTTATAAACATCATATGTAATCATCGTAAAGCTACTGAACCCAGTGTTAGCAATCTGAGCCCAAGTTAGTGGAAAACAAGTCAAAATCCACTATGATCAAGCAAGATTTACTCCAAAAGTACAAGAAAAAATCCAGCATCAGGGAGTCTAGAAATCCACTGCATTGTTAAAGAAAAGGAAATCACAGGATATTTCAACAAGACGGATGCTTTAAAAGTATTCGATAAACTTCAACACCAATTATGAATTTTTAACACCTCTTCATAAACTTAAGCTTCTTAACATGATAAGATGTATTTATCAGAGTCATCGACACCATACTTAATGGTGACACACTAAAGGTATTCTCATTTAAGTCAGAAAGAAAACAAGGATGCCTGCTATCACTGCTACAAACCAAAGCCAATGAAATAAGATAAGAAAAATAAATAAGAAATACAAGTATTGCATAGGAAAAGACAAAATTTATATTACCTATTCATGATTTAAGTGTATACCTGAAAACAAAAATTGAGGAGAAGCAGTCAAAAATCTAAACATTTTGGTAAAATGGCTAGTTATAAGATAAACACTGGGGCGCCTGGGGGGCTCAGTCAGTTAAGCGTCCAACTTCAGCTCAGGTCGTGATCTTGTGGTCTGTGGGTTCAACCCCTGCACCAGGCTCTGTGCTGACAGCTCAGAGCCTGGAGCCTACTTCAGATCCTATGTATCCCTCTTTTCTGCCCCTTCCCTGCTCATGCTCTGTCTCTGTCTGTCTCTCAAAAATAAATAAATATTTAAAAAGTTTAAAAAAAAAAGATAAACACTGAAATCAATTGCTTTCCTGTTATAGAAGAAGACTTCTTTTCCATTCAGAAGAATTTCTGTGTTCTTTTTGGCTTTGGCTGATTGCAGAGAGCAAGTATTTCTGTGTTCTCTACCATGTGGCAAGTGGACCTATTTCTGATGCAGAGAGATACTACTGTCCAGCACTGTCTGCTACGATCGAGGTAAGTCCATCCAGTCCAAGGGGAAATATTATAGAAAGCCTATTTGGCTACAGATCAAAAGCTACATTTTCCTGTCAATTTCCAGGACGTTTATCTCCTATGTCTCTTTCCTGTATCTATGCCTCAATTTCTTCCAAAATCAGAAGAGGAAAAGAGGTATTTTTTATAGGATCCCCTAAATACAGCACTGAATACCAGTGATTTCCACATAGATAGTATGATTTTTTTCCTGAAAAAAATCACATTCACATTAATAAGCCATACTATAAAATACCGGGCTTTAGCCTTAACAAGAAATGGCAAGGCCATAGAAAGAAAACTATAAAACCTTACTGAAAAACAAAAGTCTTTAATAAAAGGAAAAACATAACAAATCCTTGGGGAAGAAGTCTTAATATTGCAAAGATGTCATATCTCCCCTAACTCAATGTATAAATTTAGTGGAATCGAAATTAAAGAACCAATATGATTTGGGGTGGGGTGCAATGGAACATGACAAAATTATTTTAAAACTGATCTTGAGGGGAGCCTGGGTAGCTCAGTCAGTTAAGTGTCTAACTCTTGATTTTGGCTAAAGTCATGATCTCCTGGTTCGTGAGATTGAGCCCCACGTTGGGCTCTGTGCTGATGGCGTGGAGCCTGGTTGGGATTCTGTCTCTTCCTCTCTCTCTGCCCTTCCCCTGCTCTCACATGCTCTCTCTCTCTCTCTCAAAATAAACAAATAAACATTTAAAAAAAAAAAAACCCTGATCTTGATAAATATGGAAATATATGCAGAAAAATTTTGAAACTGAATATTACATTTCTTATAAGAATATTAATACCAATGAATATAAAATAAAGTGTAAAACATACATTATAACTCATATTTCATGTTATATATTAGTATTATATTAACTCATATTTTAATATCTGTTAGCACAGCACTAATATTGGTTATCAAACATATTAAAATATAACATAAAACTTCAGTAAATAAAACTGTGGGCCACTAGTGTAGGAACACACACTTTTATAATATATTGAGTCCCCTGTTTATGAATGTTTTGTTTATCCACTGATACATTTCTATTTTCCTAATCCTTCACTCCAAACCATATTATCTTGCCCAGACGACTTCAATAACTTCAATACCATCCTCACCAGTCTCCCGGCTTTACCTCCATTCAAACAATGGAAAACAGCAACTAGAGTGATCATTAAAATAATAATAATAATAATAATAAAACAGCAAGTCACTCCCTTTCTTAAGGCCCTCCGAAGACCTTCCATAGGACAAAATAAACTCAAATGCTCCAGCGTGACTGACAAGATTTCGTGCTCTCTGGATTTCCCCTGGCCCTCCATCTTCTCAGCTGCTCTAGCCATACTGGTTTCCTTTTAGATCTTTAAACACGAAAGCATTTTCTTCCCTGGGAGGCTGCACCTTGAGCACTCCTCCTCACCACCTCCATAGGGCCTGGGCCCTTCTCATCTGTAAACTCTCAGTTTAAATGCCACCTCTTTGGAGGCCTTCACTGGTCATCCAAATAGCTTCCTATTATATTCATACCACATCCGCTCATTTCCCACTTGCCCCTCATCACAATTTGTAGCTATTTCCTATTTGTCTACCTTTTCAATTCTCAGTCTCCCCACCAGACTAAAAGCTCCATCATGGTATCTGTTCAT